ATCCAGAAATGTATTACTTGTAAGGATGTGTAAAATTATAAGAACTTTATGGAAAAACAAAACAAAAAACACCGAGACAGTGGAAACTATTTTCAAGGCCACTGTGTACTTTTACTGTTTGTAAAATATTAGCTCACAATATACTCCTTCTAAAATAATGCTATATGTGAACTCACAATGTGGCAAATATTGTCATACATACCATAACCTTTCTAATTAAAGACTATGCTGAAAAAAGGGGGGGGAAAGCCAAATTGGCTTCTCTTTGATTCACTTTCTCCTATTTCTCTGAAATTAATGCATAGCATCAAAAAACCTGCAATTCAAAATGGAACCAGATGAAATAAGATTGATTCAAATGGACAAAACTGAATCATTTGGATTCAAAAGGAGACAAAGAGAACAAGGAAAACCACGGATTATTTGCGTTGTACAGATGTAACTTTAAAACACAACATTTATAAGATGAAATCCAAAATCATTATATACAATATTTTTACAAGTTCTACATTCAGGAGCGTGAGCAGTTACAACTGTGTGTTGTTTTTTTTTTTTTTTTTTCTTTTTTGTGGTATGAGAATGCGTGGCCTCAAGCACTGAAACATTTGTTTTCTCCCATATCCTCTGATTCCATTTGTGCTGCATTCCAGAAATAACTGTTTAATTTTAGTGGTTATTAAGTCATCAATATCCATATAATCCAATTTAGATATAAAAGAGAAGAATTATTAGCATGACCAAGATTTTCAGTGCTGAAGCCTGGATCCTTTGTATATTTTTTGATTCCAACATCTACAAGGAAAACAATGTGAAGTTTCTGACATTATAGAAAAGAAAGATCTAAAGAAGGCATGAGTCATTCACGTTCTGTTACAGACTTTTATAAGTACGCAAAAATGTTTATGCTGACCAATTCAACACGTGAACAATTTAAGAGAGACTTGTAACTTACAAACTGTATCACTAACCATAGTATGCTCAGAAGGCAAAGCATAATTAATAAACCCAACGCCCCAAAGTTTCAAAAAACTACTGGTTTTAACGTCTCCTGTGACCTTAAAATGTAAACATCCTTGATATTTATGTGTGTAAATTGAGGTCAATAATTTAGAAATTAATAACTACAAGGAATATTTCTGAAACATGTAAACTATAGAAAAGAAGGTATGAAGTCCAGCCCTTGCTCTGACTGACCAGAGTTAATTATTTTACCATTAAATCAACTGAATAAACAAAACAAAACAAACAAACAAACAAAAAAAAAAAACAACAACAACAAAAAAAACCCCAGCAGCTACAATGATAACATTACACCTGAGTCCTCAGAGTAGATACTAAATAGGCAAATTCGTAATTGTTCCTGTGTATGGAACAAATATTCTGGATAACCTGCGTGCATTCTTCAAATAAGAACATATATTTAAATTCCCAGATAATGATTTGGGAACTTACTTAATTTTACTGTCTACTTCTCAAACTTTCGAATAATTCATTTCTGTAACCGTTATGTTAGCATTTTGTTCTATAGCATCTGAAACCATGCCCTCCTGCAGTCAAACAGATACCATTGTACTAATTGTTATCTATCTCTTTCATCCATATAAGCATGGCATTAATTTCATACACAGCTTTTTGTTGGTTGGTTAGTTGCTTTTATGCATTTGAAATTAATACAGATAGAAGCTGCATGACAGAGCACAAGATGATGGCAAACAATACTTTAACTTCCAGCCATAGTAAGATCCAACCATAAAGCATAATACCTGAGCTACCCTGATGATGGTACAAGGCAACCTCACTGTCAGGACTACAATACTTTGAGATCTTGTGTTCCAGAAAGAGGCACAGGCACATAAGAGTCAAGTTCTCCAGCTACCATATGAAAACAGATTAGAGAATAGCAGCTGTACTTTACCTAAATGAGATCCAACTGGTGACATGACTGCGGACCATAAGAACAGATGGGAATAAAGACAGGGGAGTAGATAAAATTGAGCTACATCTTGGTCTTGGCACAATAATAAGTGTGTATAAACTAAACATTAAGGAGTGAAAAGACAGAAAATCCTTTCAGCCAGAATAATGAGGAAAAAAAATATCTAATTACTTTCAGGACAGAGTTCAATATGTTTCAAAAGGATTATATGATGTGCTATCTTTAAAACGTCTCTTTAAAGCTTGCATCTCCTAATTAAAAAGTCAATTACGACTTCTTAAAATGATTTTTTTACAACAGCAAAAAATTCACAATAAAAGTATTTAAGTATTCATGATCTGAAAATAACAATTCTCTTACCAGATTTTATTCGCCTTATAGATAATGAACGAATGTAGTATAATATCATCCCACTGCATTGTGTGGCAAAAAGGAATAACAAAAAAATACACCTAAAATAATCTCTCAATCCATACCAACATGATCACCCAATTGAGTTTTGACTGTTTCGTTTTACATTAACATTTGACTCTATGTAGTAACTGAATGTCAATGGACACATGAATTTTTATTTTCCAAAGTATTCCTGCCTAGAAATAGTATTACACATCTGAATATTATCTGTATTTTTTTCCAAAACAGTTTTTTTTTGTTGTTGTTGTTTAATTCAAAACTGTTCCATTGCTTATAAAAGAATTTTTGGACAAATCCTGTTCACTAAACAGCACGATCTCATTAATTAAACAAGTCGCTAACCTAGTAAATCAAACTGCTCAGCTGTTTTAACTGTTTAAACCAATGAAAATTCTAATGATCTCTTCTGCCTTACAGAAGCCTAATACTAAGACTTTCTTGATGCATAGCTCTGTCAACAAGTATGTCATGTGAGACACAGATTATTTATGCTAACCAATAAAATAGAGATAAAGGGAACTGTACCAATGGAGCTTCAGATTAAACATCCTCTCACAAATAAATGTTACCTAACACTTGATTACATTCTTGAAGTTAGTTGTAATATTTACAAGTTATGTGAATGTTCTTAAGAAAGGCCATATCGTGCTGAACTAAAAGAGATTTTAGGTAGATAAATTAATGAGTTCCTGAGATTTCTAACACAATCAAAAATGAAAGAGAAAGAAAAAGCTTGATGGATTGTCAATATTAAATTTTGTTAGAAATCCACCCTGATAGCATATGTTCCAATACTTGCATTGTTCCTATATATTAAATATAAAAAAAAATAAACATCTATCTCATATAATGCATAGGAAAATAACAAATGGATAACCTGAGGAGGCTAGGTGAAAGAAAAATGTGGAACAGAAGGAAATAAATATTTTTTAAGCTCTCAGGACATTATGTCAAGGTCTTACAGACTGATATTCAATTCAACACGAGCATCTTTCTCTACTAGGAGAAGAAAATAAAGTTTCTAATCTGTTGGGGTTGTGAAATGTTCTAACACATCTCGTGCATTTATACCACCTGTAACACAACTTGGTTTGGACACCCTCAAAGAACAATCTCTTCATAGAGGAAAAATGTCATTTTAGAAAGGTGTTAGCAAAAAAAGAAGAAACACTTTCCACTGTTATAAGCGTGCACTTCAAGCTACTCATGGATACTAGAATAGTGCTTAAAAATGTGATTGAACACACAAGGCAAAGCAGAGGAAAGGGTAAGCCTTTGTGCCACAATATTACTATCTGTCACATACTCATGTCTTAGTTTACTCTTTTATCTGTTTTTCAAAGAAATACTTAAAACTGTGAGACAGAGAAAGGGAGACAAAACTTCAGTGACTTGGAAATACACATGATCTCCACTACCTTTTGTATATTCTTCAGAAAGAATCTTTAATGTCTCCATAACATTCTATTGCTTCTCTTTCAGCCAGATTTTAGACTTACTCAGTGTTTGAAGTCGCAACAGTAATTCATAAAAAAAATATTTACCAATTAGTAACTTTTTTCAGCTTTACTTCAGTATTACTTAACAGTCAACAGCAATTTTTGTGCTTGCACTGAACAATTTATTTTTTTCAGTTCTGTAGTTTTGCAGTCAAGAAATATCAGCCTATAGCTTAAAAAAGGCATCTTTAAGGCATATTAAAATCCAAAAGAAAAGAATAATAAACAAACAAAACACACACACACACAAAAAAAAAAAAAAAAAAAAAAAAAAAAAGAAACCTGTAGGGCAAAAATCAGTAGAAGCCCAAAGGATTGGTTCTCCTGCACTCAGATAAAAAGCTGTACCTTTTATATTACATAGACCCAACTACCTTCAACCATAAGTCCAGTAATTCAATCCAGCAATTCAGTGTAAAAATGATGATTAGTTTAACAGATTTTTTTCTTATGCACCAGTAGTAATTTATAACATGAAATCTGAGCTTAGTCAAGCCATTTTATTCAGCTGAACCTATCAACTTGCAAAACATCAGTTTAGAATTAATTCTTCAAACCCATTACCATTTCAATCATACAAGAGTGAAATGAAATAACCAGAAACTAGAGTTATTATTTTCCTTATGATGCTCAAAGAGCCTGCAAGATGAAAAGCATACAAATTGGAACTGGACACATAGGAACTAAGTGGCTATTCTGTCACACAGCATTTGACAAATGCATCCTCAAGGTTCTTTGATTAAAACATGAAACAGGCAAAATATTAAGGTACGTGTAAGACACAGTTCATGAAATATTTATGTTACAGCTCAATTGTTAAACACATATCTTACACATGATTTAAAAATAAAGCCTGAAACTTTTCCTAATCATGTGGAAATCAATGGGTAGTTCAAACGAAGACCAAATGAGTCTGAATGAGTCTGTAACTATGGAATTACTGCAGTTATCTTTTCCTTAACTTTTTTTTTTTTTTTTTTTTTTTTTTTTTTTTTTTAATTCTTATTATTACTTTAAATATTTTAAAACAAACTAGTTAATAAAGACAACAGAAATACCAAAATCCACCTAAAATGAACTGTAAAACTATGGAGTTTCCAGACCAGCAAACATCTAATTACTGACGAGAAAAAGAATTGATCAAATCCTACCTGGAGAAATTGCTTGGTTTTCACGTGACCCACATCTCCAGCCTCTACCTGTGCTCTTGACAGTTTCTCTTCAGTTTCAGTTAGCCACTCACTAAAACTTTTCATTTCACAGTGAAAAAGCCGCCACTTTTCCATGGATTTGTCAAAGCGTCTGCAAGCATAAAAGATGGAATAATGTATCAATAATTATTGACTGAATGAAAAAAGAAAAAATGTTAGATGTCTCAGACTGTATTTCCTGTATTTCCTAATTTCCTGTTGATGGCACCATACATTAACATTCCTAACAGTTATATCAAATGGAAACATGGTAGTACTTCTGACTAGTGAAAGTATCATTAAGCACATGTGCTAAAAATCAGTATCTTATCCATTTATAAACTCCTTTTGATGTTTCAGACAAATTCTTTGGTCATATCATGTTTTCAGAATCCTAGGCATACAGTACAATTCTGCTCCAATTTTACTGCCTCCCCAGAGGATACAAATGCCCATCTATACTTACTGAAAATGGAACTTCCTTCAAAGGAATTTTCACTTTTGGAATGAAAAGGAAGTATTCTCGCCTTACTTTTATTAACCCCTTATGTATATATAAATATTTATGTATATGCTTTTCTTCAATTTGAGTATTTGGTAAAGATACCAAAATGCAAAATATGCAAAAATAGAAATGCCTGAAATACAAGAATGGTTGAAACAAAAGATATTTAAATTAGGCTTTCATATAGTAAGTAAAGATGAAAAAATTGTTACTATCATCTCCACATAAAATATAAATTCACTACACATAAGACCACGTAAGTACCTACAGTGCTTTGGCATATCTAATGTATTTTTTGATCAGTCTGTTTGCTCAAGGCCCTGAGAAGTACTGAAGAACATAATCTGTTTATTTTGCAGATGGGCCATGTCATAAGGAATGCAGTTACTTTAGGTTTTGGATTGCTGTTGAAGAGATCACTAATAAGAGATTAGCTACAATGCTTTGTTAGCAGATTATCATGAAACATGTTACTGTTGTTTAGTTTAATAACCCTCTTTTGTAGGATTACAATAGGTCTTAGAGTGTACTTAAAGGATAACAACAAAGATGATCAATTAACTTTAGACAAACTATATGGCTGTTAGAATGTGAAAGACTATTTCACCAAATAAACCAGGTTGCTAACAGAAATATAGACCAGGAAGATTTTTTTTTTTACTCATGGTAACCCTTTTTGATAAAGATACGAAACAGAATTGCACTAGCAAACAGTGAAACAACATTATACTTCTGTACATTGACTATGAGATAGAGAACACATAAGACAGAGAGAGATAATACTATATATATATATATTATATATAAGTATATTTTTATATATATATATATATATATAACATATATATATTATATACTAAAAATATATATTTTCCCCTACAAAAGTGTTTGATTACATTAGGCAGTTTAGATAAACATACTCTACCAATTTGTTCATAAAATGGGCAGGACTTGAATTTTTTTTTTTAAATTAAAGCATTTAAAAACATGTTTTAAAATAAGAGTAGAGCAGAGTTCTTGTAATTTAAATTTTGCATAGAAGAGCAGCAAACTAACCTGTATCCATTTGTGAATCAACTCATTGCATATCTCAAGCACAATTTGATTCATGGGCCCTAAGGTTAATAGCTGCTAAACACTAGAACCTATATTTAATTTAAAATAGTTGCTCCTTAGTCCTATGCAGTCTAAATATACCAAACACTTCAAATCACTCAACTAAATGACAACGTGATCAGTAAACTTGAATGAAAACAGATACAAACTACCAGAATAGTTCAAGAAATCTTTGTTCTCTCAAATTTAATATGGCTGCCTGTGTGATGAAGCCACATCAAAGATGTCAGTGCTCAAACCTGACAACTTCTAATGCACACAATGCCTTTAAAAGTTGTGATGGATAGAGAAAGATGCAGCCTGGGACAAATAAAAAATCCTTCATAAATTTCAGAATACACAATCTTGCTAATTAAAAGCAATAAATACATAAGGAAAAAAAAAAAGTCAAGTATAAAAACTAGTTTATTGAACTGGTTATCTTCTAAGCTTTAGGGGCTAATTGTCTTTCAACAAAAGTTGAAATCTCTGTTTCCCACAAAAGCAAGCTGTATTAAGTTTTCGGTATTGTGAGGCTGTTATTTCAATAGCATTTGCACATTTGCTCATTTTATTTTGGGTCCCAGACCCAAATAACAAAGAAATTGTCAGAAAAGGCCAAATAAAAATAACTAAATGAAATAAGTGTGCAAAACCTATATCTATTTAAGAATAAAAAATAGATATAAATACATAATAATTTATGCACAGTAGTAGTTGGTAGAAAATTGCTGTTGAGCCATCAGGTTAAGTACTACTAAACATTTTTCAAGATCAGAGTGGATGTACTCAAAATATTTTTTTCTTTGAACACAGAGAAGAGTTTCATTTGAAAACACGTCCTGCAAAAAAAGCTGTAATCACCACAGCTTTCTAATATATTTTCTTCCTTTCATATAGTATTGCCCTCTTCAGATGGCTAGGTATTTGCCTTCACCTTTGCCCTATCAATTGTGTCCTTCGCATTTTTTCTCTCTTCATAAAGGTATGCCAAGTGAAGATGTGACAGTTTTCAAACCTCTGGCTTCAATGTTGTCTAGTTTTCATTGCTCTTTTGAAACTTGGCCACAATCACAGTAAAAATTCTTTAAAATATTTGAGTTGCTGGGAAGAGGTACATTAAGATTCCAGGTAACGTTTATGACTGCCCTACTTTGCTACAGATGAACACAGGAGCAGTTCAAGAACTGCCACATATGACAAATTTCTTCGTCACTGTAAGCAAAACAAACTGCTGATCCAGTTAAGAACTGTAGTTACTCAATTCATTTATTAAAATGACTGTGATGATTTTTCAATTACCACACTATTTTACAGAAGCAGACTAGACACAACTGAAACGCCCATTTTCACCAGTGACCTCAGTCTAAATTAAATGGAAAAGTCTTATTTTACATTTAAGAAAATCACCCAGAAAATAAAACCTAAAATCCATTCTTTTTTTTTTTTTTTTTTTGGTCCAGTATGGTTTCTCATTTCAAACACTACATTAAAACAGAACTCTTCCTATTTCTTGGAAAATGAAATTACTCTTCTCAGCATGAGGAAGTTTATCAGCAGCTTAAATGCAAAAATTCAGTGAGAATTGATGTTAGTTATCACTAAATTTGCATTCCAGCTCTTGCAAATTGAATCTTGCCACTCTCCATCCCTCCTCCATTTGCTTTGGCTTATAAGACTTCCAAAGAAAGAGAAGAGAAGAGAAAAGCTGTAGTGAGAGGATATGTACAAAATTATATAAAAAAATAAACATTTACAAGTTGAAATATTAGTGCTTGTCATTAGGTCTTAAAAAACAAGAAGCCAAATACTGTTACCTTCAGTATAAGTACAGAGTAGTATTATACATCAAGTAAAAAAAAAAAACAAAACATTATGGATAGGTAAATTCACCCAAACAAACAAACAAACAAATTAGTGTTCCTTTGCTGATTAGGCGTATCCAAAAACTCAGTCACACTGACAAGAGAAATGTCAACCCTGCTGTAGTGACAGAAGCAGCTTCATCTTAAATACTGTTTTGGGGGCCATCTCTGGTATTTCTAAGTGAGGATTCCCCACTTAACCTGTGTAATACAGTATTTTATATACACTACTACTTTATAGATTTTTAACATTTAAAATACTTATTTTTATTTTATATGGTTTACCATTTGCAATCCTGTTAGCATACTATAAGTTCAAAACCCACAAAAACAGCTAACTACAAGCACTGAGCTGCTAAGATGTTACAGTCTTGGCACAGCAGAATGCAGATAGTAAAAATTCATAAGCGAGTTCATAAAAAGCAAAATCCTCTGAGGAGTATGAAAATTCATGAAGAGTATGTCTACCTCAGGAGTCCCCAACCACACCATTTGGAGGGAAGGAAAGACTTGCAATTATACTCTCATCTAGGGAGCCAGTCTTGTTTACCATCAGAAACAAATTATTGATCTAAAATAAATAAGTAATTAAGTAAGTGATATTCACTCATCACAGAATCACAGAATTGTAGGGGTTGGAAGGGACCTTCAGAGATCATCGAGTCCAACCCCCCTGCCAAAGCAGGTTCATTCACTCACCTTCTTCATCTGCTGAATGGGAGTGGCTTGTAGATGACTGTCCAATATCTGGGCAGTATTTCCTTTTCTGTTAGTCACACTGTTCTGTTTCTCTTAGCATATGCTTGGTAAGAAGGCACAAGTGGGCAACCTGAAGCCAAGCATTAAGTTCTATATAGATTCATTATAAATTACAGTGAATGACTTGCATATGCTGCAAAGGGATTAAACAGTGTACATAAGCTCTGACACTAATTAAGGTAGCCTCATTTCTCTAATTTGAGTACATTAAAATTAACATGTGAAAAACAGTGGGCACACCTTGTCTACATACATTGACATCTCAGAAGGGAACACGGTAAGCGCCATCTTCAGGGAGCAATTTCACTTTGCAATAATCTGCAGCCCAATTTGCATTAAGTCACAAAAATACTGGCAATCTTATTCCTTCAAAAATTATCACTCTACAGAATCTTTGGATTTCACTTGCAGCTGATGGGTAAAGCTGCTCAAAAACCAACATCAAATTAGCTATAAGCAAAAACTGAAACTCCTTGCTAGAATTGCACATGACATTGCACAAAAAGTTTTGCAGATGTTTATTCACATTTACTTTCAGAGGAATTTTATACAACATGATTATGCTTGAATTTCCTAGTCCCAAGGCTGCCATTTTCAGGAAGCTACAAAAATGGTGGAAGAAAAGACTACTGTATAAAAGAAAATCACAAACATTAGACAGACTGCAAAAGGTTTTTGATTTGTTGCCTTAAAGACAATAATTTTCACTTTGTTTCTTTGTTACAGTTCATTCCTTGAAATTCTGAAATAATTCCTTCATGATCTTTGAAATCAATGACCAAGACTTATTCCACTTTAGTGAACCTTCACAAAACCACACAGAAGAGAACACTACCAGTTAAAACCTTCCTAAGTATCGTGACTTACATCATGGAAATTATTATTGTT